ATGCACTTTTGTTGGCTTTACAGTCATTAAAGAATTGTTTGTGTGTGTGATTTGAACAACAAATGTGTGTGTATTCTAATTCAGACATGCTCTCATTTCTTCTCAGTATTTCAGCTTTGCTTGCTGCAAAGAGTTTCAGCTTCAAAAATTGGTTTTTATTTTCTTGCTGCAGTCTTTTTTTCCCCCTCCTGTGTTTGTTATTCACAAGTGGTGAAATTGATCATATTGTGTTACCGATAAAGTTTCATTGCACAAATACCTTCTAATTCCTTCAGGGTTTGGAAAACTATTTGAAAAAAATGATTATTTTAAAACTGTCAAGGCTAAAACTATTGTGCTGTTGCAACAAAAAAAAAGTTCATTTTGGTTATAGGTGTGAGTTGTTTGCTTCTTGGTTTAACTCATGGAATACATGTCATACTTGGTATTGTAATAACATCATACTTGAGTCTTTAGAAACCATCTCACATCGCATTTACTTATACCCACCACGGAAATATGGCGGATGTTTTCTCTTGAAAATGTTGTATGTTTGATGTGTTTGTGTATATGTTTGAAAATGCTATATGCACTGTATTTAAGATGGCAGTATTCATAGATAGTGGTGACCTGTATGCAGAAAATATATGGTTGCATTTATCTTTTCACCATTATGAAGCAACAACAGAGTAAACAAGTGATGTATTTCCAAGAAATTGATGATATTCATTGATTAAGGTATTTGGCAAATACTGTCAAAAGTTACAGCAAGAATAAGAATTGAGAAGTTATTTTCCTATTTCATGATGTGAGTTCACCAGGTGCATTGTTATGGATCTCTTCATATACCAGATATTTGTGGGGGTTAAATCATTTTGCAAATGATGTGTAAATTACCTTTTTAAGTGCATTGATTGTATTCAGCCCAGTCCATATCAATGACAGAATAAACCATGGACTCTGATTTCTTTGTGTTGGGGGTGGGTATGACATCATGGCTTGTTTAGGTAGGTTAGGTTAGGTTAGTGAAATTTAGGGTAGGACCCTGTGGTTTCACCTGGAAAATATATATACATTTTCTCATGTGTTGATGACACGACTGTGTCCCATATATCCACGATTATTGTTTCTTTGTGCTGCATGTGCCTTAAAAAGCTTCTGAAGTCAGACGTCACATGAGTCGGGCAGTAGTTTAACTACAATTCCCATCTGCCCTTTCTGCACTAACATGAACAACCGTGAATCATTACGAACCGTTGAACCAATAAGCTTGTAGGGTACTGCAGTGCCAGGATGACCTTTATTGGCGTATTTCGACAACCGGTCGCTGTGGCGGCGACTGCAGCCAGAGTTTAATCTATGAATCCCTGTCATAACACAAGACCGGGTTTTTATTGTTTGTCTAATCAGTTGGAGCTAACAGCTAGCAAAAATGGGAGGAAATGGAAGCACGGTCAGGAAAGTGTCATTTGGACTGGACGAAGACGAGAAGGTCACAGTAATTGAAGGAGTTAAGGTGCATAAAACATAGCATTATTGTTTAAAAGAATGCATTCAGAGCCACGGTTGGAAATATTGTATTAGCTAGTCATAACGACGAAAGCTAACAAAGTTAGTTCAGGTGTGCTGAAACGCAGACGGGTCCCGTGTCCTCACATGAACCCGTTATGCCCAGTTAGCTTTACCCGCCGTCTAAGGTTAGCATTAAGTAGCAGGCTACCCTTAAAATAGCTGGGTGAACGTGAAGCTAGTCATGAAATAGCACTACAGCGGACTTTTACGTAGTTATAAGGCGGTGCATCTTTGTTATGAGGTTGAAATTTTCCACTTAACGCAAATAACATAACTTATGCTACCAACCCGTAAGGGAGTTATGGTACTGTAAAGTTAGTAGAGTGCATTTAAATATAGTGTATCCCATCTGTGACCATGCACACTGCACCAAAGGAGAAGTGTTCATGTGTGGATACATGTAAGTTAACCTTAGGCAGATAGCCACTCTTTGCCCTGGTGTTCAGGAAGGTCGGAGAGGTCAAGCACAGCTGTACAGCAGCTCATCTTGAGCTACTGGGCAAGTCAGTGACTATCTTAATGACACTTGTTGCACAGCGCCCTATGCCACCATCATCAAAACACCTAATGAGGGAAGAGAGGTATTCATCCCTCCAGTAGATTGCAGAGACTTGTAGAATCAATGCCAAAGTGCTCTGAAGCTGTTATGGTGACACATGGTGGCCCAGCACCTTACTGGGATACTTTATGTTGGGGCTTCCATTCATTTGTTACTTGTCTGTATGCGTGTCTTTATGTGCATGTGTTTGTTCCCACTTTCCTATTCAGCTCTCAGGGGATGTGCTCCGGCGAATGAGGGAATCTCAAGGGCCTGAAAACACCAAGCCGCCTCCTTCTTTGACACCAGGTACAAGTACAAGTACATTTCAGTCAAAAGGTGCGTTTCCACTGGGAAAGTTTGTGATACTGTTCATTCCCAGAAACTAAACTCCAAAAACTTACTTTGGGGTCAAAGTCCCTTGAGTGCACTGTGATTTAGATTTCTACAGCAGGGCCAAAGCCCCAGGAAGATTAAACCATTTAGCTAAGGTTTTAAGAATGTAAAAATTATGTGCAATATTTGACCTATCAGTGACATCCAGCACTGCAGGCCTTCCTTGCCCTGATAAATCTGGGACCTTCAGAAAGTACCGCTACTGCTTGACCAGGGACTTTTCTGGGGGTAGAACTAATCCCTGGAACTAAACTTAGACCCTGGTTCCTCTGGTGAAAAGACATGTAGAGGAACTAAACTCTGCAAAAGGTTCCTTTTTTTTTCTCTGTGAAAGTTCCTTTGGTGGAAACTGGGATAAAAACATTTCCTTTCTCACAGAGTTCCCACTGGGAGGCTCACTGTGACTAGAAACATGCCCACATACACTGACTGATGAGAACAGTATCTGAATAATGGTCACTTCTACTGCTGTGACTTTTCTGATTCTGATTCATTTTAGAAAGGACAGAATACAGTGATGATCCCAATGAGTTTATGTTTGGAGCTGCCTGACTGTGTTGCTCAAATATATGTTTTTGCAAAATGTGTAGTTTTGATGATATATTAATATAAAGTTTTTTAAGCTATTGCTTGATAATTGGGTAAACATTGGAGACAATGGATTAAAATGGGGATGCTTTTATTTTTGTCAGCTTAAATTAATAATTTTCTAAGAGAGATGTCCTGCCCAATTTCAAGGAGATTAGCTCCGCTTTATCCCTTCATGTACCATTTTAATTGTTCTGGAAACTGATCCATATTGTAATTGCTAACAGTACAGTGATACTTATCCCATTTGATTTACAGGTTCAAAACCAACAAGGTCCTCCACTGCAGAAATACAGGAAGAACTGCGCAAAGAGTAGGTGCTCATAATGTCAAGCTTTGTCCTTCTTTGTTGGTATCTAGCCATATTTGGTGCCATAATTTGCCATTGTCATTTACAGTATTATAATAGTGTTGGGGAGTAATGAACTACATGGCATTAAACTAGTAGTTTAATTACTATTTGCTGTAGATTGCTGGTAGTTCAGCTTCATATTTGTATAGTGATTCAAGTAGTTTAATTACATTTTTGTCATTTTTTTTTGTATACTGCAAACTATAAACTATTTTTGGCCATAAAAGGAACAGACTAGTTTATTTTTATTTTGGGATGCTGCAGGTGAATGGTTATCAGCGTTGGTAAGGGCATTTCCGTGTCAAACCAAATGCCTGCCCATGTATCATATGAACAAGAGATTTTGCTGTAACAAGTAAAAATATGGGCCCATTATTTAGACCAGTGTTCAAGCTGTTCATAAAGTCTGAAAAGGCACAAGCTGAAGACTGTTTAGATGTTAAGATTGTAAAGTCAGATTTTACAAAACTGATGAGACAACAGGCCAATTTTTTGGGTGAGTGCTCAAATTGATCTAAGGGTCTAAAAAGGTGAAAGTAAATTTTTTTTATTTACTATTTTAGCTGAAGTGAGATTATACAACATTCTGATTTATTTTACAACAAAACAATAACATTTCTTTTGGCCTTCTTTTGAGCTGCTTTTTCTAAGTAAACTAGATTTCTCCCTTTAGCTTTGCTGTAGTTCACCTTCTTACAGTGTGAAGTAATTGGTACCTTTCCAAACACTGGTTAATGTTGGTTCAGTTAGAATTTGGCATCTTCCTGAGTTGCCAGTAAATTATTGTAGTTTCAGATAGGTAGACTGCATATCGTATATTCTTATATACTGTGTTTAAGTTGCACCTTCTGTGTTGACACAGTCAGCTCATAGCCAGTGGAGGTAACAGATGCATAAAATAGCAGACACTTGATGCTAATCTGCAGTGTTTTTGGGAAACAGTCACATGCTAGGTGACTTGTTACCACAGCTTGTACTCTGTTAGTACAACAGACATGTTGCTATGCTCATAAACTGTTTTCAGCTTCTGCAGATTAACATGGTGGTAATAGCACTGACCAACTCTGTGTAATGCTGTTTCTTGGACATTTGTTAGATGTGCTGTACAGTATATTGTTAGATTTTGATGAATGTATTTGTTCCATATCTGTGTAATGTCACCAGTCCTTATTGACTGTATTTTACAAGTTAGAAAATTAGGCCTGTGACCGACAATATGCTGGTTTAAATCTTTGGGCCAAGTATACAGGTTGTGTAGGTCCTGCAGCAGATGTATATCAAGCAACCCAGTACTGCTGCCTTTGAATAAATATGTAATGCTTTTGTGAAGGTGATAAACATGAAATTATGTGCAAGTCTAGGGTAGTTTTTATGGCCTATTTCTTGATATTGGATTAATTATATTATATGTTACAGGTGGCTAAATCTTTTGCATACATCTGTCTTGTTTTTTGGTCAAATTAGCTTTTGGAGGCTTAATTTAAAATACAGTTATTGGTGTTGCTCTTCAGAAACCAGCATCTCTGACCCCATATTCTGCTTCAGCTTAGCCAGCAAGCCCTGGTGCAGGATCAGTTGGCCAGATTGGCTAAGAGGAAAGGAGAGACTGCAGTAACCACAGGCCTGGATGAGCTGACCCCTGCTCTCATCATCAAGACGGGGAAGGTCCATGAAGAGCAAGAAAAGGCTAGGATACTGGTGAGTAATACTCATTTGTCAGTTAAAAGATACACGGCCAAAACAAACAACAATAGTATTTGAGAAAGGCACTCAATATGGCAGGACAAGTGAGCAACCAGAAAGAGGTAAACAGTGCAGTGACATTTTACCTGGCCAAGAATATGGTGTGGAAAAATTGGGGTTTCAAAATAGTTGATCCACTCTATGAGATACCAGCCACAGATATTTTCCAGCACAGACATTCTGCTGCTGTAGTTCTCAACAACAATACCTGATTTATGTTCTAGTCATACTACTGAATGATCTGTTATTCTTTATTTATTTTAGGTTTTGTTACCTTGTAAGGGTTATTATTTTAATTACAGAAATAAATTTGATTGTACTAGTTAGTCACTTGCAAAATAGTCTTAAAAACTAACATTAAAAGGAACTATGATAAGATAGTGGGTCATGCCTGCCTGAAAAACATTGTGAAATGATATTTTTGCCCACCCTGCAGACACATTTAACAGGACTAGTAGATTTCTTTTCTTCCACAAACCTTTGGATTAGTTAACAGCTCCCTCTACTGTTGAGACTTTCCACAGTCCAGAGGTGCCATTGAACTAGTGAGTTGAGTTACTGGAATGAACATTTTATCGCTGGTTTCTGTTTGCAGAGCATAAACCAAACACGTTTTTGTAAAAGCAGGTGATTAAACATTTGAGGCAAAGTCATTGTTATTAATATCACATTGTTGAGCTTTTCAGTGATCGCATTATGTTCATATCATTTAGGTAGCATAGCCTCAGCCTTTTCCCTTTATTTCCAGTGTTAATATATCAAATTGTCAATACCTGTACATCCAAGAAAAAATGCCAATGAAACTGTTTTTATTCAGTAAATTAGAATTCTCCATTGTTACTGTTCTTGATCATATTAGTGTCTGCATTTGAATGAATATGTGAACGGTGTGTGAACAACATATATGTGATGTACATCGGCTTTGTTAAAGTAGGGAAATCACTGATGATGCTTGTTGGGGAACAAGTATGATAATCTATTTCTACAAGTTACATTAAAAATCACAGCATTCAATATTGGATGAAAACAGGAACATGAACAATGTGGTTGTCTATGAATGTTAACCTATATAAGTAACTGGGTTTATTTTGTAATCTGATTAACCTTGCTTGTATGCATGTGAATATAGTTACTGTAGTGATTGTATATATATCTGTGAAAGCTCTGCTTTCTCATTTGAAATGTTCTTGTTGACTCACACTCCTGTCACATTCATTGGACTGTGCCGTGGTGAAAGAGGTGATAGCATTTGAGTTTCTTTAGGATTTTGATGAAAAATGGAGAAATGGCTGTTTTGCAAAGCTTGACTCAAAAGCTGGACACGTGCCAGCGTACGCTTGTATAATATGTGTGAATGTAGTGTATGTGTTTTATAAGAATATGCATGTAACATTTATTTTCTAATATTTTAATTTGAAATATGCTCTGAAACATATCTTACTGTGGAGAAGTGCTGTCAAAGGCTCCTGCGATCTAGACTCATTGAACAGTCTGGCAGCAGTGCAGAGACTTCTTTCTAAAGGTTTTGATTGAGCTTCGCCTTTTTAACCAGTCAGAGAAGGCCAAAGTCAGGGGTGGGAGCTCACCACTGGCAATGTATACTCAAATGTGCTTCTAACTATAATTAGCTGTTGGAAGATATATGCACAGGCTAGCAAGCCCCCAGTTCCTGCGTTATCAGAGTATATGACGAGGATGTAGGTGAAGGACTAGAGGGAGCATAACAGAGCAGGGAAACGGGGGTGGGAGGAGCAGAGAGAGTTCTGTCTAGAGCTAGCTTAACATCTAGAACACAGGGATTGTAGCTTTAAGTGTCAAGACTGGGGAGGTTTTTGATGGTTTCAGGTGATAGAATTTAAGGAGTGGTGCATACCATGTGCGAGTAGTCCAGAGAGCATATAACTTTGTGGCACCGCTCCTTCCTTCCCTTCTTTTCCTCCTCATCTGTCCTGGTTCGGTCTCACCTCCGACTTTCACTTTTGTGCAGCTGTCTTAATACCAGGTGAGGCCATACTATTGGCCAGATCCCCAGCTTGATTTCTCCCCTGTGTAAAATGCTCTTTTAAACATTCTTGACAAAGGAGTTGAAACCTAGCTGAATTCAATCTTAAGATTAAAATTAAAGATGGTTTTGAGATACACATATATATGTATTTATAGTTCTTAGCTTTTGAGCATTATCAAATCTCTCTGCTTAGCAGGTGGGCTTCCATCTCTTCTTTGTGATTTCCATTGACCTTGTATCCACTGGCAACAACACAGCTGGAGGCCTGAAGAAAAGGTCTCTCCACTCCCCAGTCTTTCCTTGTTTTATCTTAAAACACTCCATTTTGAGTAGTTTGGGGCCTGCCTTATTTCCAAAACACACACACACATATACATTCTCACACACACACTCACTGCTGTGACACTATCAGAGTACACAATGATGTATAGCGAGTGCCCTGTTTCCTTTACTCCATGTGTGCTCCTGGCTTTGCAGCAGTGTGGAGGGGGTAGAGGTGAGGGAAGTGTGGGCGCAGCAACTGACAGAGAACTGAGCTGCTCCCCACACTGCCTCAGGCGGCCTGTCACAAACGCCCGCATTAGCTATTTCCTCCTGTCTCAGTGCCAGTTGCCATCTCTGGGACTATTGTGTGTGTGTGTGTGTGTGTGTGTGTGTGTGTGTATGTATCAGTGCATGTGCATTCCTGTGCATTAAACTGGCTCTGTTTCGGTTTACACCAGAGGAATGTGTGTGTGTGTGTTGTTGGGGGGTATCTGCTTGCAAGGTTCACTCACAATTTGGTCAGTACTTGATTCTCTCTTTTTAGGAACTTTTATATATTTTTAAGCTTTTATTTGGTACAAAGTTACTTTTTAGTTTTATTTGTATAGCACCAAATCACAACACAAAAATCATCTCAAGACACTTTACACAGTATGCTCTAGACTTTACAGTATTACAACATGACTTTAATTTCTTCCTTGGATATTTTTTCATGTATTGTATGAATACCTTGTCCCCCTGTAGCTCAGTGAAGCCTAGCACTAAGTGCCAGTCTGTACCATAACTTTCACAGAGGTGCTGTTTGGAGAACTGGAGAAAAGCTCCTTTTGTGATGTTCCACATGAACTGGGCAAGTGTGGATTATAATGTAGACCTCAAAATGTTTTTCAAATTCTTTTCTATGTATTTATTTCATTCTTATCTGCTACATGGTCCATGTTTGTTGCTAATTCACACCAGTTGCTTCTGTATTTACAGTAAAGTTGATAGTGAAGTTAAGAGATAAATGCAGCTGACATCAGAATAAAGCTCTGCACAGTGTTACCATGTGTGATTAGTGCTAATAGTAGCCAACTACACTGGTCAGCCATAACATTATGACCGCCTGCCTATCTTGTCACTCTGCAGCTCACTGTGAATCTTCTGTGAATTCATTTGCTTCCACAGTTTTGCTTCAGTAGTTCTGTTGTCAGAAAGAGCACAAATGTGTCGACCATTCAGTGAAAAACATATGTAAAAGGAGTGAAAACTGTGGTTGAGGACAAGTTAAAGATCACTTTTTAGACAAATTTAACAGCCTCCACACTCCGCTGAATGTTTCTCTTCATAGAGACCAGTGTACAGTATTTCTCATTTTCACCTATTTTAACAAATGTCCAGACAAAATGGAATCTTTTGAGAAGGATTAATGAAAGTTAAAGGTTTAATCTGCAGTAGTTCAACCTCATCATCAGTGAGCCTTGGGTGTCCATGACCCTATTGCTGGTTCACTGTTTGTCCTTCCTTAGACACTGTTGGTAGGTACTGACCACTGCAGACAGGAACACCCAACAAGACCTGCAGGCTGGGAGAAGCTCTGACCCACTCATCACAGTTTGGCCCTTGTCAAAGTCACTCAGATCCTTATGCTTACCTGTTCTTCCTGCTTATAACACAACTTTGAGGACTGAATGTTCACTTGCTGCCTAATATACCCCACACACTGACAGGTGCCACTGTAATGAGATAGTCGGTGTTATTCGCTTCAACTGTCAGTGGTCGTAATATTATGGCTGATCGGTGTGTCCCTACACAATTGCTACCCCTGAAGACATGTTTTAAGACAGTGCCTTTTTTTCTGTAACTTGTTTATTGCATTTTTTTGTGCCGGCTACTTCTTCTGCTTCATAATTGCCATAGTTTTCTCTCTCACTATGACATCCAACTTCTCACCCCACCTACAAAGGTGCTCTTAAAAAATGTACTGTATACAGCTGGTCCTCTGTGACATGTCATCCTGCCTTGTTCTGAGACTATATTTAGACCTTAACAGTTACATCTTGAGTGAAGACACGGTAGAGACAACAAGTTAGATTAACACCTAGTCTGTTCTCCTCTCCTTTCTTTCATTAGCACTTCCTGTGTTTATTTTCTTCCCCCAACTATTCTTTCTGCCTCAGAGGTGTCATTCGTGCTGCAAATAAAATGCTATTAGTATGCACAGGCATTCAGTGCAGAGCTCCTCACACACACACACACACACACACACACAGACAATAACAAGCATCTGCTTTAAGCTATTGAATTTCAAAAGCTTCTTAGGTAGGTGAGAAGAATCGGCTTCACTACCTGTGTGGGGGTTGTGGTGAATGTTTGTAACCTGTCAGTTGATTTGCTTGTAGGACAGTATACTAAAAGCTAGCTTTTATCTGTGGTCTCAAATAAGAATGGCGATGGACAGCAATACCAGGGGTAGAGTTTTAATTCAAATCAGTTTTGTAAAATGCATCAAGTTGACCCCGCCTTCCACTTTTTCCATCATCAGTTTTACACAATGAAAATTAAGCAAAAAGCCAAAACTGTTGTGCTAAAATTCAGTCATAAAAAGCTATGTAAGTGCAGTTTGTGAAGAATTTTTGTAAACAGACATTGACATCCTTTATTTAACTGTGAATAATCAGATTTTAATGTGAGAATTTTGTGGTGG